ACCAAATCCCAGCAAGCATTCAACCCATATAAATCTGCTTTCTTCACATAAAATTCCTCCGTCCATGCTGCCAAACAAGCCTACTTTATCTCTCTCATCAATACCTTCTCATCCAGTCCTTGTCGTCTCTTTTAACTCTCTACTTCTCCACCTCCACCCAGTACCTCACTCACTGCTCACGAGATTGCAAATCATTTCAACAACAAGATTGATGCAATTCGTAGGGGCATCTCCACTGCACAGACATCCATCCCACTTAGCATACCTTATACTAAACCTCCCTCAACACTTTCCTCTTCTGATAATGTATATTATATAGGCCGTGCTTGTTAGAGCCCAACCTTTGTAGCTGTAGTTAAAGGTGCCAGAGGATATCAGGATGGATGGATGGATGGGAGCAGTAACACTGAGGCAGCTCTTCTTAGAGTGGAACAAGGCTCTAATGCAGTAAACATGTTAAAAGGGCAGGAATGCTCCTCTGAGTGCAGTAATAGACAATTTATTAGTGAACAATAGATGAATTGCACTTACAAAGATAAATATAAAAAAAAAAAGACTCATCCTGTGATGTAATAGGATCCAGGTGAGAGACTTCCAACCGTCCAGCAGTTGCTCAGTCAATAGGATCAGGAAGTATGAACTAGGATGTGATCAAAATGAGGCTTGTGAGAGCAGAGTCGGATGTAGGTGAAGGGGGTTCTAACGCATTTTGGGAGCATGCTTAGTAGTCTCTTTCTTCAGACCTGAGGCCCAATAGAACACTGACAATTTTATTATAGCGTGGAAGGGAAATGGGGGAGGCAAGTAGTTCCGGGGTCCCTAGGCCCTTAGAAACCTCCATGTTTCCTGCATTGTACAGGAATTAATACAGATATAAAAACACAAACGAGAGAAAAGCTTTTAATGCTTTGGGGGTTAAAAAGTATATGAGTGTGTATGTATACATATAATAACATATATCTAATAAAAAGGGCATATTAGAAGGGAAAAAGAAAAATGATGGATGGACTCCTATCCTCCGCTCGTCATAATACAAATACGGATCAGCACTGAAGCAATTGGCTGCATCCGCTGGGCGGAGTGTCTTTTCATCCGGACAACGTGGCCACACAGTGATTGAAATGTGTAGCGAATCCCCCGCTGAACCAGCTGAAGTTTCCATGGACTATGTCACACTTCAGATGACTTCCTATCTTCTTCCCTCCCACCTCCTCTGTGTTGATGTCATTCATCCTGTTCATCCCCTTTGGCCTTTTTGGGCCTTTTTTCCCCCCACCCCCATTTTATTTTTATCTTCCCCTTCCTTTTAAAGCTTTTTCCCCCTGCGTCCCTGGGGGGGGGAAAACTTTCCCCGAGGAAACCACCCCCCGGGGCTTGAGCTTTGGTTTTTCCTCGTTCCTGGTTCTTGTCCCTGACCTTTTCCCACGACGGACAGTTTTCCTTTGGAACCCCCTCATTTTCTTTAGGGAGGTGGGCCAAAGCGGGAGGTTTTCGGGGCCCGGGCCCCTTTTCCCCCTCCAAATTTTTGCAGTGACCCTCCCCCCTTTAAACCCTTCCACCAAAGAAACCTGCACACCGAAACCCTTCCCCCCTTTTCCCCCCTGGAAGAACATGTCCAACTATTAAAATCTCCTTTTTTCCTTCCCCCATGGTCAACCTTTAAAAATCATTTTGACCCCAAGGCCCTTTTTTTTCCAAGCCCCCCACCAGATTTTTGGGATAAAAACCAAAGGTCCACTCTTCTCTTTAGGAGAGGTAGAACGCGCGCGCCAGGAACTAGGATTATGGGGGGAGGGTGGGTTTGCCATGGAGCCTCATATTAGAGACCCCTCAAATCTTCCCCATCCAAAGTCTATATGTCGATGACTTCACACTGACCTCAATAGCTCCTCCCATCCCAATGTCCCTCCATCCAATCAGAGAATCCTATGACTCACACTGACCTCACATCTCCTCCTCGCCAATGTCCCTCCATCCAGAGTCAGAGAATTCTATACATCACACTGACGACCTCTCATACTCTTAGAAAGTGAGGTGGTCCTTGGCATCATCGAAGCAAAGTTGAACTATTTGTCATGTAAGATGTATGTAATGACGTCAGAATTGCTACAAATTTTTTAACCTGTGTAGTGTGGGGGTTCTGTGGGGGAAATTATACCACATGCCTTAGAGTGGGGCTTTAATAAAATGGAGACCTGAAATGGAGAGGTGTAGGAGGTATTCTGGGAATATCATTTGATTGTGATTATTGTGTTCAGATGTATTAGTTTTTCCTCCTATGAAGGTCGTGGAGATCATATGACCATCACATTGCCTCACCCCTCCATCCCTGTAAGAAGAAGAGTAAAGGAAGAGCAGAAGATTGCTAGAAGTCACCAGAGATATCACGGATCTGCTGAACAGGTGAGGTGAGCAGGAGTGGATGCCGGGAATTCTGGGACATTCTCCGCAGTAAACAGACAAGGGACTGTGGTCTGGATGGAGTTGACTAGTATCCTTGGTGTCGTGTTCAGGTTCCTATAATTTGTGTCAGGATAGTCAGAATGTAGTCTGAGGGTCCAGAGAAAAAACACAAAGAATCTGTAACAGGGACACCATGGTGGAGTCATCACTACAGGAACCCACCAGAAGAGATGTACCCCGTGCCTCTGTATTCCTGGGATTCCACACAGGAAGGTCACACCATCCCTCACCAATCATCAGGTAGATGATTGATAATTATTGGAAGTTCTGCTTTATTAACAGGCTTTGTTTGTTACAATAATTTATTTATTTTTGTCAGAGTGAATCCTCGGGGGATGATAATATTGATGTTAAAAGAAGAGTATAAATAGAGGAGGATGAGGAGTATGGAGTGATGAAGGAGGTTTTCAGAAGGACACAAGGATAATGATGGAGCCACCTAATACCTAGGAACCCCCCAAGAGATGTCCCCGTCCTCTGTATTCCCGATGATTCCACACAGGAAGGTCACACCATCCCTCATCATTACAAGGTTTGGTGGGACGGAGCATTCTAGAACATGGACTTTTAAAGATGATGTGTGGATTGTTTATGTGAGCTTCTATCTTACAGATGATATTTCTCTTCATTTCCTTGATTTAGAGTGGAGATCCAATCGATATAGAATTTGAGGTGAAAGCAGAAGAAAGAGAGCGTATGTGAGGGATGATATCAGCAGTCTATGGAGGAGATGGGAATAACGGGACATTTATAGAGGAGGACACTCCTACAGAGATCAGCACAGGTGGGTCATGAACACTAAATCCCATTCCTCCACCCCGTCCTTTATACTGCTCACTGATTGTCCAGAGTAGGGCGGGACTGGGTGATATCAGCCTGTAATCCCCTGGTCACTTTTCCTGAGCTCTGTTCCCGTCCTGTATTCCTGGATTTCTCTCGGATAATCTTCCTTCTCTGTGCTGCAGACACAATTTATGTATCTAGACTGGATTTATGGAGGTTCTGGGCTCAGCTGGCAGAAAAATGTTCATGTTCAACATAGGTGTTGGTTGACCTGGGACATGTGTATTGGGTCCTTTTGCCACATGTCAGCAGGTCTAGTAAAATCACTGACCAATCATATTCTCCCAGGGTTACTCTGTTGTCTGCCTGCTGTGCCGGGTGGAGGGATATGTCTTGTAGTGTCCTCAGACCCAAGTCACTGAGTGCAGTCTCAGGAGATGGGAGGATCAGCGGTGTGGATCTCTGCAACTTGTCTACAGTAAACATTTAATATTCCACTGATTACTGAATACCAATATTATGAGTCCTGATCCCTACACTGTATAATTTATATTGTACTCTGATTACATACTCCTGACCCCTGCACTATATACTTGTACATACATACTTGTACTTTACTTGTACATACTCTACATACTCCTGACCCCTGCAACTATATACTCTATGTTGTTTACATAGTACATTATACTCTACTCCTCCTGACCCCTGCACTATATACTCTATGTTGTACATTACATACTCCTCCCTAAACATTCTGCTCTTCCCCCTCCCCCCACTGCTATATAATACACATAATATGGATTCTCTTTTGTTCCCCCCATTTCCTACCAGCTGGACATTTTATATCGGATGATGTGATTGGAGCACAGACTTTTAGATGGTGATAATAATGTGATAACATCCTAAAACTTTGGACCCTTAAACAGAAAGTGATAATGAGGGAGGAGTCAATACCCCAATGATGGTGGTCTTCAGATCAGTCCAGTCTTCATCTTGGTTGTTCTCCCCCCATTCTCACTCTCTGACCTCTGGTGGGGCTCAGCCCCCTGTTCTTCATGACTAAATCATGGGACTAAATAAGGAAGTGCAGTACTTCTTGTGTTGGGAAGATGGCGATGAGTGATAGAGGGGGTGGGGACCCTCGTCCTATAATCCCCTCATCACTGTCCCTCCTATAAAAAACAGTTTCTGGTTGTTTCCTCACTCTCTGACTAAGGTCCATGAATAAAGAAATGACCTGGTAGGAGATCAGAGGTTCCATTTCCTAGTTCCCTTGAGGGTGGAATTGTAAGCTCCTTAGAGACCAAGCTGCCTGATGTGGGCGGAGTCCTGGTTTGGGGGGAACCAATCAGCTCCTGTCTAGTAATCCTCTTTGTCTTTGTATTTTAGTCCATGGCCGGGAGATGAGGAAAACCTCTGAGGATTGTCTCACTTTGTCTCCAGACTGGAAAGTAGAAGATGAGGACATCACACAGTATTGTCCAGGAGAAAACCCGGGTCTCCCTCCAATGTCCATCCCAGCACCACCCAGTGTAGATGGACCATCGGATTCCTCATATCCTGAGAAACCTCAGACTGTGCGGGACCGGGCCGGCCTTCCAACAGAGAAGAGCTTCTCCTGTACTGAGTGTGGGAAGGGTTTCCATTCTAAATCCCGTCTTAATAGGCATAAAAGATCTCACACAGGGGGAGAAAAACCGTATTCCTGTTCTGAGTGCGGGAAATGTTTTTCACAGATGTCCAATCTTTACATACATCAGAGATCTCACACAGGGAGAAAGCCGTATGCCTGTCCTGAGTGCGGGAAATGTTTTTCAGTGAAGTCCAATCTTTACAGCCACCAGAGATCTCACACAGGGGAGAAGCCGTATGCCTGTCCTGAGTGCGGGAAATGTTTTTCACAGATGTCTGTTCTTCACAGACATCAGAGATCTCACACCGTGGAGAAGCCCCTTTCCTGTTCTGAGTGTGAGAAATGTTTTTTACATAAATCCGATCTTCTTATGCATCAGAGATCTCACACGGGGGAGAAGCCTCATTGCTGTCCTGAGTGCGGGAAATGTTTTTTACATAAATCAGATCTTCTTACCCATCAGAGATCTCACACTGGGGAGAAGCCTCATTGCTGTCCTGAGTGCGGGAAATGTTTTTCAGCGAAGTCCAATCTTTACAGCCATCAGAGATCTCACACAGGGGAGAAGCCATATTTCTGTTCTGAGTGCGGAAAATGTTTTTCACAGAAGTCCTATCTTTACATACATCAGAGATCTCACACGCGTGAGAAACCGTATTCCTGTCCTGAGTGCGGGAAATGTTTTTCGCAGAAGTCCGGTCTTTCCAGACATCAGGGATGTCACACAGGGTTGAAGCCGTATTCTTGTCCTGGGTGCAGCAGATGTTTTTCACGGAAGTCGCATCTTTACAGACATCAGAAATGTCACACGGGAGAGAAGCCACTTTCCTGTAATGAATGAGGGAAATGTTCCTCACTGAAGTTCTGTCTTCCTGTACAGCAGGGATCCCAGACAACCCTGGAGGTTTATTAGTGCCTTGAGTGCGGGAAATGTCTTCTAGATGAATGTTGCTGGGACATCCCAGCTCTCATGTGGGGAAGAAGCACCCCCTGATATACACCTCAGATATACTCCATGGCTGATCTTCATCATGGAAGAAACAGTTCATAAGGAGATCAGAGGTCTCCAAAGACATGGATGAAGTTGTGGGACCGGGTTGGCCATTTTTCAACAGAGTCTGGAAGAAGACTGGAATCAGCTGCCAGCGTCTGGATGCTGAGGTCAGGGGAGGCAGAGATGAGGGGGGGCTGTGGCTGGTAACAGAAGCACAGGATCTGGTGTAGGAGTTCTGTCCTCCTTTCTGCTACTGACTGCTGGGACAGGGAGTAGCAGAGATGACCCTCTCCACGGCTTCACAGAGAAGCACAGGATCTGGTGGAGGAGTTCTGTCCTCCTCTCTGCTGCTGACTGCTGGGACGAGGAGTAGAAAAGATGACCCTCTCCACAGCTTCACAGAGAAGCACAGGATTTGGTGGAGGAGTTCTGTCCTCCTCTCTGCTGCTGACTGCTGGGAGGAGGAGTAGAAAAGATGACCCTCTCTACAGCTTCACAGAGAAGCACAGGATCTGGTGGAAGAGTTCTGGCCACCTCTCTGCTACCGACTGCTGGGACAAGGAGTAGAAAAGATGACCCTCTCTACAGCTTCACAGAGAAGCACAGGATCTGGTGGAGGAGTTCTGTCCTCCTCTCTGCTGCCGACTGCTGGGACGGGGAGTAGAAAAGATGACCCTCTCTACAGCTTCACAGAGAAGCACAGGATTTGGTGGAGGAGTTCTGTCCTCCTCTCTGCTGCCGACTGCTGGGATGGGGAGTAGCAGAGATGAACCTCTCCACGGCTGCACAAAGAAGTGCAGGATCTGGTGGAGTTCTGTCCTCTCTGCTGCCGACTGCTAAAACAAGGTGGGGGCAGGTGAGGGGGGTGCCACAGCTGTAGGAAAGGTGCAAGGACCACATTAAATTGCCTGGTGGGCTGAATTGGTCCCATGGGCCTTGTGTTTGACACATGTGATCTAGTGGTAATAATGAGGCACTGTGGTACTATTACTATGCTATGGACACTTGATGGAGCTGCACTCTGGGCTGCTGGAGAACTTGCAATTGGCACTCAGGGAGGCCTAGGAGACTTTTAGCATCAATTGGGAGGTGGCAGAATTCTTTCTCCACTCCCTCCTCTGAATGATGGACCATGTACATACATATGCAGTATGGCCAGAAGATGTCAGGAGTGTGGCGGTTCCTGTATCTGCGTCCATGTTGGGCAGCACAGCCATGCTTCCAAAGTATTCATGGAGAATCTCCGAGTGATGTAAGCAGCTGGCAGTGTTCTTCCCCACAGGCACCCCCCAGACATGCATAGTGGAAGGAGGTCCCGATTCCTCTATATAGATCTTTATATCACTAGAGGGGTCCAGCAGGAGGAAGGAGGTCCCGATTCCTCTATATAGATCTTTGTATCACTAGAGGGGTCACCGGCAGGAGGAAGGAGGTCCTGATTCCTCTATATAGATCTTTATATCACTAGAGGGGTCCCCGGCGGAAGGAAGGAGGTCCTGATTCCTCTATATACAGTTGCAAGAAAAAGTATGTGAACCCCTTGGGATTACATGGAGTTTTGCATGAATTGGGCATAAAATGTGCTCTGAACATCATCTAAGTCACAACAATAGAAGAACACAGTCTGCTGAACATAATACTACACAAACATTAGATGTTACCTTGGTTTAATTGCACATAACATGTAAACATTCACAGTGCAGGGAGGAAAAAGTATGTGAGGCCCTAGCTTAATGACTTCTCCAAGAGCTAATTGGAGCCAGGAGTGAGCCAACCTTGACTCCAATCAGTGTGATGATATTGGATGTGTTGCTGACAGCTGTCCTGCCTTTAAAAAACACACACACCTGTTTTTTGGTTTACTGGTTTCAAGAAGCACTGTCTGATGTGAACCATGCCTCGCAGAAAAGAGCTCTCAGAAGACCTACGATCAAGAATTGTTGACTTGCAAGAAGCTGGAAAGGGTTACAAAAGTATCTCCAAAAGCCTTGATGTTCATGTGTCCACGGTAAGACAGACTGTCTACAAATGGAGAAAGTTTAGCACTGTTGCTACTCTCCCAAGGCGGCGTGGTCGTCCTGTAAAAATGACTGCAAGAGCACAGCGCAGAATGCTGCATGAGGTAAAGAAGAATCCCAGAGTGTCAGCTAAAGACCTACAGAAATCTCTGGCACATGCTAACATTTTTGTTGACACATCTACAATAAGGAAAACATTAAACAAGAATGGAGTACATGGGAGGACACCACGGAGGAAGCCATTGCTGTCCAAAAAGAATATTGCAGCACGTTTGAAGTTTGCAAAAGAGCACCTGGATGTTCCACAGCACTACTGGCAAAATATACTGTGGACAGATGAAACCAAGATTGAGTTGTTTGGGAAGAACACACAACACTATGTGTGGAGAAAAAAAGGCACAGCACACCAACATCCAAACCTCATCCCCACTGTAAAACATGGCGGAGGGAGCATCATGGTTTGGGGCTGCTTTGCTGCCTCAGGGCCTGGACGGATTGTTGTCATTGATGGGAAAATGAATTCCAGAGTTTATCAAGACATTTTGCAGGAAAACGTACGACCATCTGTCCGCCAACTGAAGCTCCGCAGAGGATGGGTGATGCAACAGGACAATGACCCAAAGCATACAAGTAATTCAACAAAACAATGGCTGCAACAGCACAGAATACGCCTTCTGGAGTGGCCCAGTCAGAGTCCTGACCTCAACCCGCTTGAAATGCTGTGGCATGACCTTAAGAGAGCGATTCACACCAGACATCCCAAGAATATTGCTACACTGAAACAGTTTTGTGAAGAGGAGTGGTCCAAAATGACTCCAGATCGTTGTGCAGGTCTGATCTGCAACTACAGAGGTTGAGGTTATTGCTGCCAAAGGAGGGTCAACCAGTTATTAAGTCCAAAGGTTCACATACTTTTTCCTTCCTGCACTTTGAATGTTTACATGTTATGTGCAATTAAACCATGGCAACATCTAATGTTTGTGTAGTATTATGTTCAGCAGACTGTGTTCTTCTATTGTTGTGACTTAGATGATGTTCAGAGCACATTTTATGCCCAATTCATGCAAAACTCCATGTAATCCCAAGGGGTTCACATACTTTTTCTTGCAACTGTAGATCTTTATATCACTAGAGAGGTCACCGGCAGGAGGAAAGAGGTCTCGATTCCTCTATATAGATCTTTATATCACAAGAGGGGTCACTGGTGAGAGGAGGGAGGTCCTGATTCCTCTATATAGATCTTTATATCACAAAAGGGGTCACCGGCAGGAGGAAGGAGGTCCAGATTCCTCTATATAGCTCTTTATACAGCTAGAGGGGTCACCGGCAGGAGGAAGAAGGTCCAATTCCTCCATATAGATCTTTATATCACTAGAGGGGTCACCAACTGGAGGAAGGAGGTCCCGATTCCTCTATAAAGACCTTTATATCACTAGAGGGGTCACCGGCAGGAGGAAAGAGGTCCTGATTCCTCTATATAGTTCCTTATATCACTAGAGGGGTCCCCAGCGGGAAGAAGGAGGTCCTGATTCCTCTATATAGATCCTTATATCACTAGAAGTGTCCCTAGTGAGAGGAATGGGGTCCCAATTCCTCTATATAGATCTCTATAACACTAGAGGGGTCACCGGCGGGAAGAAGGAGGTTCTGGTTCCTCTATATAGATCTTTATATCACTAGAGGGGTCACCAACTGGAGGAAGGAGGTCCCAATTCCCCTATATAGATCTTTATATCGCTAGAGGGGTCACTGGCAGGAGGAAGGAGGTCCCGATTGCTCTATATAGATCTTTATATCACTAGAGGGGTCACTGGCAGGAGGAAGAAGGTCCCGATTCCTCTATATAGCTCCTTATATCACTAGAGGGTTCCCCAGCAGGAGGAAGGAAGTCCTGATTCCTCCACATAGATGTTTATATCACTAGAGGGGTCACCAACTGGAGGAAGGAGGTCCCGATTCCCCTATATAGATCTTTAGATCACTAGAGGGGTCACTGGCAAGAGGAGGGAGGTCCTGATTTATCTATATAGATCCTTATACAGTGAGGAACAGAAGTATTTGAACACCCTGCGATTTTGCAAGTTCTCCCACTTAGAAATCATGGAGGGGTCTGAAATTCACGTTGTAGGTGCATCCCCACTCTGAGAGACAGAATTAAAAAAAAAATTCAGGAAATCGCACCTGTCCATCCCACAGTCAGTCAGACGCCAACTACTACCATGGGCAAGACTAAAGAGCTGTCAAAAGACACCAGAGACAAAATTGTGGACCTCCACAAAGCTGGAAAGGGCTACGGAGCAATTGCCAAGCAGCTTGGTGAAAATAGATCAACTATTGGAGCAATTGTTAGAAAATGGAAGAGGCTAAAGACGACTGTCAGTCTCCCTCGGACTGGGGCTCCATGCAAGATCTCACCTCGTGGGGTATCACTGATGATAAGAAAGGTGAGGAATCAGCCCAGAACTACAAGGGAGGAGCTGGTCAATGACATGAAGAGATCTGGGACCACAGTTTCAAAGGTCACTGTCGGTAGAACACTACGTCATCATGATTTCAAATCATGCATTGCATGGAAGGTTCCCCTGCTCAAGCCATCGCATGTCCAGGCCCGTCTGAAGTTTGCCAATGACCATCTGGATGATCCAGAGGAGGCATGGGAGAAAATCATGTGGTCAGATGAGACCAAAGTAGAACTTTTTGGTCTAAACTTCACTCGTCGTGTTTGGAGGAAAAAGAAGGATGACTTGCATCCCAAGAACACCATCCCTACTGTGAAGCATGGGGGTGGTAACATCATGCTTTGGGGGTGCTTTTCTGCAAAGGGGACAGGACGACTGCACTGTATTAAGGAGAGGATGAATGGGGCCATTTATTGTGAGATTTTGAGCAACAACCTCCTTCCCTCAGTCAGAGCATTGAAGAT